ACCTTTGAAATTCTCATGCAAGCGAAAGAGCCGAGAGTCAGCGAGTACCGGAGGAGAGAGCTCTCCCATACCATGCCCCTTCTAGACACGCTCCCCCTGCCCAGCTCCTCCTCAAGTTCTCAGCAGCCCCTTCCCCACCCTCCCAAGAGCATTTCCAGCCTTTCCATCCACAAACCACAAGCCCAAACCCTCAAGGTGGGTTTTGGCATTTGCACCACCATGTTAGAGGGACTGGGGCAGATTTCTCTGACCTCTCTGCATTGGCCTCCAACCAGTTGGTGCTGGGAGCTGGAGACCAGAGCAGAGGGCAGTGGACATCTCCCTCAGCTGCCCACCTTGACAGCAGCTCCCCCTTCCCTCCCACGCACAATCAGACCCTGTCACCATACCTTTGTTTAAGGGGGAGTTTTCCAGCCCTTTTTTCCTCTTCCTCCAACCTCCTGCGAGCTTCTTCCAGCTGGGTGAGAGGGTTGGGGGCTGGATTGGGTGGCATGGTAGGATCTTGGATGAAGGGGTGAGAAGGCTGGACGACATTTCGGAGTTGGGCGCTGACCCACGGATGCACCGCAACAGGTCGCTCAATGGAGAGGGGTCGGACCATATCATGGGACAGCTGCTTCTTAGCACCTGAAGAGCTACACAGAAATACAAAGGTTTTACACAGGGCACCGAGCCGCTTTGGACAGGCAGACAGTCACTCCCAGATGGACCTACTGCTCCTGCAGCTGGACATGGGTACCGCTGGGAAGCTCCTTACAGCATGGCTTCCGAGGGAGAGAGGAGCACCATCCACCTCTGAGAAAATTTCAGGACAGCAAGTCCTGAGACATCAGGGTGAGCAACCCAACCCTGACACAAAGCCCACGGATCTGTTTAAGGGCTCTCATCAAGTGCACGATACATAAAAATCAAACCAGCAAAAGGCAGCTCCACCACTTGTGACGTTCCCCCAGAAGACGCCCTCCCACATACTGCTGACGTTCCCAGGCTGGGAGCCTCTCCGTGAGCCGCTGGTCGGCATCTCCAGGGAAGGGGATGTTGCAGGGATGCGCTCATCCTTCCCCAGCTCCAGCGGCAGAACCTCCTGCCTGACTTCACGGTGGCCTGGCACTGCCCGTGGCTCTGGCACTCGGCCCCAGCTGCCTGCAGCTTAACCCGCCCTGGCCTCTACCGTCAAGCAAGAGAAGAAATCACCAGCAGTTTCACCGCTCAGCCACCAGCACAGCTGCACCAGCGGGGACAAGACCCCAGACAACACCCCGCAAGCATCGCTTTCTGCCAGAGACTGACCAGACTGCGATTAAGGATCTGTGCCCGCAGGAGATCTGCTTGGCTCCAGAGAGATTCCTGAGACAGTCACGTCCTTGGCTCCGCTCTAGGCAGGCGAGGCCATCCCAGAGGATGCTCCCAGCAAGCCGAAATGCTGGGCAAGCCTGAGCCGTGCTAAACTGCTTACTCAGGACCAATGGCTCCAGTGCAGCAGGTCCTACGTTTCTATCAGCACCTTGCAGGCGTACCAGGCATTTATATACAGCAAATGCTTAAAGGGAAAATACTGCCTACTGTGTGCCGCGTTATCCACCTCAGAAACACAGCAGCAATTTGTGAGATTCCCCTGGGGCTGCAACCTCCCCCCCTCCCCGTGGTCACAAATCATCCTTCAGAAAAAACAGCCCTTCCCGAGCAATCCTCAATCTCCAAAGGGTCTAAACCCTTGTGCCTGGTGGATTCTCATCTTCCCGAGGTCTCCAGGAACAAGGCAGACTGATGGACAGCTTTGTGCAGGGGATGCAATACAACAGCCCTTGCTCTACCAGCCCTTACCCATGGTTTGTTTTCTTATGCCTGCTGATCTCCTTCTCTCCTTCTATGATCCACTGAAGGATCTTCTGGTTTCTCTCCATGTCTTCAGGAGATCCTGGCATCTCATAGTTGGCACCATCACTTTTCCCTGAATCGGTCTTCTTAACATTTCTTTTTGAGAGCAGACTTGCTTTCCCACTGCAAGAACAAAGCTTGAGATATTAGCGCTTTGCCTAAGCCCAACCACCGCAGACCGTGGCAGAGGATGGACACGTCTAGCTCCAGACATGTCCAGCCCTGCCGGGGTCTGGTGCTCCTGCAGTGCCGATGTGGCCCTGGCTGCCTTCCACAGCCCCCTGGCTCTACCATAGCTCAAACCAACCGTGCCGCAGTTGAGGCTGAGCGCAAGACTGGCTAGACCTAGGCACGGCAGGCTTCTCCGTCCAGCCACCTGTGGGGAAAGGGGAGCTTCCCCCCTGAATGTGACAAGAGCTCCTGCCTGTGTTAAGCCCCTGGCTCTTTGCTCAGAGCAGGAGGTTCATCCTGGTGCTGCAATCCATCGGCTGCCTCTCCGCGCCAGACCGCTGCCTGAAACCTGAGCCCGTCACCTCCCAGATTCACCAAGGACCCAAACTGCCCGTTTGCCATGCCCAGCATTCGCTTCTCACCCCGGTTTGAACCGAGGCTTCACATCATGGTAGAAGATCATGTCCTAGTGGGGTGGGCTGCCTTCCGCGGGCTCTCGTGCACTGGGAAGCCCAGTCGCCTCGAACGCCGCAGCCAGACGGGTGCCAGGCGGTGGCCGACACTTGGCCGTGCTTACGGCAGCAGCAAAGGCTCCTACAGAAAGCTCAGCGCTCCTTGCCCACGTGCATGCTCATGTGCCCTGCCGGGCAGCCCATGCTCACGAGGCCACGCAGAATTCACCCATGCTGGCCTGTCATGGACACAGCCTGTACCTTCACGGGACCCCCACCGTCCTAATCACCCACCCACTTTACTCCATAGGAGCTCCCTACTTCTGCCTCTGCGTGCTCACTAACACAGCGAGGAAAAATAACCTTAACAAACAGGCCCTCAGACAGATTTGCTGATATTTTTCAATATAAAAAAATAAAAAGGGAAAAAGCCTGGAGAGGGGTTGCTGAAGATCTACAAAGGCAGGGCAAACTGACAGCTTCTCTGCTTCTCCCCACATGAGGACTAGTGGGTATCAAATGAAATTCTCCAGCAGCAGGTTCAGTGCAAACAAAAAAAAAGCCTTTTTCTGCAGGTTGCAATCACCCGCAGACAGAGCCGCGGGGTGCTGGGGGGCACAGCAGCCTGGCTGGGTTCGACGAGGAGCCAGACAGGCCACTGCGAGAGACTGCTGGCTGCCCTAAAACAAGACCGTTTGGATAAACTCTTGTCTTGTGAAGCTCCTAACCCAGGGACTCTCAGGAACTGGGAGTTTGTGCCAGAGGAAGGACAGCTCTGAATGTTCCCTCTTACAATCCTCTTTAATATATGCTGTAGTCGGTGCTAGAGAGAAGTCCTGTGTCTAGATGGGGCTTTGGGCTGATGCAGCATGGCCACGGTCATGCTCTGTTGAAGCAACAACCCCTTCACCACTCAAACAGGGCAGATTTAAGTGCTTCTCCCTTCCCAGAGAGCAGTTTGCTCTGGCTGCCTCTGCCACCCCGGAAAGCTGCTCCTGCCCTCACTAAATATCCCACCCCTCCTACGCTGTGAAGCAACACCCCAAACCCACAGCCTTGGGGAGGCAGCCGCGCTCGAGATGAGCACAGATTTCCCCCGCGGCTGCTCCATCACCATCCCTTATTCCGGGCAATCCGCAGCTCCGCTCTCACCTTTGCAGTCATCCAGTAACGGGACTAGCAAAACCTGACGCAGCGGACAAGAAGCTTCACCCTCTCCTCTCAGCACGGAGGGGATGGAGGAATTCAAATGGCCAAGGAAAGATGGACAAAAGGTAGCAAAATGTGTTTTCTGGGCAGAGGGTCCCCTACCCCGGAGAACGTGGCCTTGGGACAGGATGCCATGGCAGCACCACAGCGTCCATTGCTTTGTGAGGAAGAGAAAGGAGCGCTTCTGGTGAATGGGTTAGAGCTTGCGATAAGGAGGGCCTTTTTGTCCTCTCATAAACATCTTAGGAGACCAGTTTCTGCCACCCAGACCCTGAGACATAGCCCTCTATTTAGCAGCTCCCAATGCACAGGGATGCAGACCAGCATCTGCAATTTCTAAGCACCTCCACTGCTTTGAGGAGCAGAAAACTACTTTCTAACCAATGCCATTAAAAATCCTGGTCAGAGGGTGTCTTTGAGCACCAGATCACAGAGGTGACAAGGAGTCTGTAAGGGTTATTGGGGGACATATCCATTTCTGAAGAGGAAGACCAGTGGGAGGCCCTTAAGCCATGTCCCAGCACAGGCTTTCATGACAAAATGTGGTTCGACCACCCTGTTTCACCAGCATGCTACAGCCCATTTATGAACGAGCTTCCTAGAGAAGCCATGGCTCTGGGACTTCCGTTGGGTGTTGCCTTGACTCACCTGTAGCCTAAAGAGTCCATGGGGACAGGGGCCATGCCCAAGTTTTCAGTGTAGTTTCGTGACTTTGTTGCATAGTTATGTGAATCTACATTCCAAGCAAAGCTGTTCTGCACTCGCTGCGTGGCCTCGGCCTCGATCTGCTCTTTTGGTTTCATCACGCTGTGGTGATGGATGTGGTGGTAGACGTGTTTATGGTGGTATAAGTTAGCTGCATCCAGTTTCATTCCTGATTTTGTTGCGTGCTTGCCGTGCCCTGGAGGAATTGTTCCTAGTGTCCCTGACAGCTTTCCTAAGTGGCCGCTTTCTGGGGACCGTGGCTTAGGAGAGTGGCGACCAGGTCCTGGAGACTGGCAGCCTGGGGTTTTCATCACACGTTGTACGTGTTCATCGAGGATGCTTTCTGGGTTTTCTTCATGGGCATCTCTCATCTGCATCCCAGCGCAGCCCATCTCAGAGTAACGAGGAGCAAAGTGATGAAAGGCTTGGGCGGAAGGCATCTTGTGGCTAATAATCGAGGGACCAGAAGAGATATCTGCATCCTCACCTTCTTCTTCCTGCAAGAAACACGAGGACAATCAGAGAATGACAGCAGAGCCATGAAAGGGGTCCCCAGTCCCATCTCCTGCTCGCAGCAGGACTGCTGCCAACCCTTCAAGGGGTCAGGCCTGGCTTTGACCAGCCAGATCTTGAAAACCTTCAAGACAGAGATCCACTGCCCTTCTGGAGACCTCTCCCAGACCACGCCACCCTCCTGCAGACAATTTCCTAACGCTCAACCCAAGCCTGTGCAGTCTTGCTGCCACCGAGCAGAGCTGCTCAGGTGTCTGTGCCCTCTTTCTGAGCCATCATCAGCGAGGGTCTTCACACACCACCCAAAGAGACCGAGGCAATCTTTGACAGGCAGCACACACATCACAACCAGGGTTTACAGATGCAGCTTTCTGGTAAGTGTAACAACTCAATCAGATGTTTGAGTGGGCAGAATCTCACTAAAAAGCTCCCTAGGTCCCTTGAAGTTGGTTCTGTAAAAACCAGCAGCAGAAACACAACTTACCGCACCGTACCTGTGACTTCCTACGAGCCTTTGGTAAGGCACCGCTTCAAAGCCCGTCAGATAAAGCTCAAAGTTACAGGATATGTGGCAAAACAGTTCTCGAGTCAGGCGAGACCGGGGGTTTCTCACCCGAATGACTATTTCACAAGGCAAAGCCAACAGCGGGCTTGTAACAGGAGGGAGCAACTGAAGGTCGACAGCAGCATGAATGGTTTTGAAAATCAAACATTGATTTCTCCTGGGCCTTCAGCTAAGGCTGGAGTGAAACACTTCATGCAGATAAAGAAACGGGTTGGAACTAACTGCTTGCTCTTGTAGTTCACGACAGCCTAGGACACGCTGTTAGCGACTCTTAAGTCCTTGCCAGGAAGAATAAAACTCCTCCATGCTGACAGCCACAGTTTTGATGCTGACAAACTACTTTACAGTCCAACATAAACTCAGATATTTATGAAGTTTCTTTATTGGAAGTCAGGATTCCTATTTTTTTTAATTACATAAGCAGGATTCCAGTGAGTCCTTTAATCCCGCTCTCTTTTCCTCCTTTGGCAGAGTAAAGAAATCGGTTGCAGCACAGGGTGTCTCTGCCCTGCCAGATAAATCCATCTGCTAGAAAACACTGATTCCCATCAGCTTTGCCTGTCAGATGTCATCATCCATCACTTGCTAACCAGCTTCAAAGCCTCAGCTGCCAACCGCACAGCAAGAAAGCAAATAACAGACTTCTTCCCAGTGTCACACCTGGGGGTTCAAACCCGAAGCAGGGCCAACGCCAGGCTTTGAACGTGCCAAAGGCGTGGGCGCTGCGTGCCTGGGGGTGTGACACGATGCCTGCGTCTGGAGGGGACACGCCACTTTCTAACAAATGGCTTTGAAGAACTTCAGAGGCAGCTTTCATCTACAGCCACGACGCTGCAGCCTGCCAACCGCCGTCCCTGGGCACCTAGCTCAGGGACAAGAAAAGATGGAGCATGTGCTTACTAAATCCCTACCGCTGGAGTAAGCATTTATTAGCAGTTTATGATAACCCAGAGATGCGCTCAGCACCTGGGAGGCCTTTAGGGCTGGTACCCACTTTCTGGAAAACTCTTAGGTTTAAAAATCACATAATGCGCAGGGCAAGGTCTGACCCCGGTGCAGATCCCTGACACGCGGCAGCACGTCCTTTCTGCTCAGAGCCCAGAGCTCCGGCAGCGCTGTCACACCAGCGCAGGGTGGCACGAGAGCGACAACCTGGGGTGGTCCAGCCAAATGGGTGCCTGGAATTCAATTTTGCCAATAATTGGGACCTGGTACTTTGCTTTGCTCCAAGACTGAGATCAGGGTGGGCTAAGGGAAGGAGAGGGATGCACTGGCTCTCTGTGTGCCTTGGCTCAGCTCATTTGTGTCACCAAGCAGGAGATCTGGACCCAAGCAGGTCCTCAGGCAGGAGCAAGTGCTTCTGGGGTTGGTGACATGTAGGTAAGCCCTGTGGACAGCCGGCTTCCTGCTCCCCCGCACCGGTCTCAGCTTCGCAGGGAGTAGGAAAGCCCCAACAGTGAGAAAACAGGAGCTAAGGAAGGAGTTGGGGTGCCTACCCTAAGCTGACCTCTCTCCTTGAGCAGGGCAGAGGCCAAAGGTTTGAGTCAAGGCTGTGGATGCCAATTCTGCTAAATCTTTTCACCATGCTTAGCCTGCAGTGAAAAAACCAACGTACGGCACGGGCTGGGGCAGCCCAAAGGACTCTGGATATGGCAGAGTCAAGTCTTGGCACTGCAAGGTGCTCCTTGCCCGAGTGACCCACCAGCAGCAGCAGCCTTCCCTCCTTCCCCCAACCCCGCACCCGAACCTGCCCGCACCCACTGCACAAGCTTGCTGCCCCTAACCTGCACCCCTCTGCCCACCGAGCACCCTCGCCCTGCCCGCGGCTGGCACGGGCAGAAGGAAGGGAAGACAAGACAAGGACACGACCAAGAGGCAATAACTACTGTGCTTTACGCCAAAGAAACCCACGGGACCGAGGAGCAGCCTCCTCCACGGGCTCAGCTTTACTGGACACAGGCGGGGCGTGGGATCCAGAGCCGTGTTTCGGCATCTCGCTTCGGTGAGCTGGGCAAAGCCTGGCAGCGTGCACAGCGTCTCGGCAGGTGGGGAAGCCCCGGGTGCCATAACCACTAGATGGTGCTTTGTTGACATAATATTGTCAGAAACCTCTTCCATCAGCTCCCAAAGGCAGCGGCAGTTAAGAGAGATGCAGGCTTCAACTTCGCTGTCGGCTGAGCTATTTTTTGCTCTGCAGTGAGGTCGGGGGTGGCCTTCCCTTTGAATTTGGAGGCTGAGATCTGCACTGATGAGCTATGGGCACGCGATACCTTGCTGCAAACCTCCTCCTCTGCCTTCTCCCAGTCCCACCCATCAAGGTTGTTACTGGTCAGTGGGGCAAAATAGCTCACCTAACCACGAGTGTGTTTTCGATCATCATGCAAATGAGCTTCCTCTCTAGTTAGGCAATGCTTTATATTCAAATCGCGAGAATCTCAGCGCTGGCTTTGCTTCTCCTGGCTTATTTTCAATTCGCTCAGTTCAGACAAAGACAGAGTGATCTGTACGATACGATACTGCAGCTTCCGTGCACGGACACGAGGCTGAAGTGGCTCAAAAGTAATAAGGGAATGTGCACATCCTCTAATCCTCTCCTACATTGCTCAGAATAATTAGTGAATACAGAGCTTTTTTTTTTTTTTTAAAATAAAAACCCCAGAAATTTTACAGTCTTTTCAGTAAAAGGCATTTGGCTCTAAATCAGATGCCTCTTCTCGATGTTACTGCATGATGTGGCTTTGAAAGGGAACTTGCAGGCAGCTCAGTATGGGGGAGAAAAATTCTTTTTTCCTAGCTTTTGCAAAATATTTTCAGCTTTTCCGCTAAGCCGATAAGTGCCTAGTGTGACTAACGCTCGTGGTTTTCCCTGTGCCACTGTTCAGTGAGCCATGCAGACCCGGTAAGAAGTTACCCTGTAGTCCTGGTGTTCAGGTCATAGAAAAAAGCCCTTGTGATCTATCAGGATTGAAGCTCTCCTCTTGCTGATACCAGCAGCTCCTGCACCTGAAGTGCTGACCTAAAAAAAGCTACAATTGCTTACTCCGAGTTTTTCCTGAATGACTAATGCCAGATGCCAGCCAGTCACTGAAATACATTCTAGAGACAGCAAAGAGGTTTAATATATAGCATTAGTGGGAGTCCTGGGCTTAAAAATAGATTAAGTCACACAAAAATGTGTTTAAACAGAGTTAAATTTATTCTCTGGCACACAGATATTTGCTGATTTTATGGTATTGCTACTGGCAGCTTCTTCAAGGAGGCAGAGGGCTGGGATAACGCAGTCTGGTACAGGTGGGGGCTGCCACGGAGCCACAGGAGAAGGAGGAGGAGGAGGAGGAGGAAGAGTAGGCCCCAGATGTATTAGCAGAAAAGGCTGCCAGTTACACTGGCTTTGTGTAGAAAGCAATAGGTACCACAGAGGAAAATGGAGTAACTCTAGAAGAACAGGAATCTAATCACAAAATAGCACCTCGCTGGTCTTTTCTGGCTGGATACTGGACACAGACGTGCAGGGAGTTTGCTGGACAATGCCTGGAGCTGCAGGGAAGCTTACAGATCCCTCTGCCTTCCTCACTTCTCCACATTTGAAATACGGATGTGATTTAAAGTGAATCCTACAACGTACAGCTCTCTGTCTGTTTAAAGATGAACACTTAAAAATACTGACAAATATTTAAATACTCCCATGGGGCTGAAAGGTCTGCCCTAGAGCCCCAGAGGCTCAGCTTCTCTGAAGGCACAGACAGGCACCAACACCTCTGTCTGCTTTAAGGGAGAGCTGCAGGTTACGAAGCACAGAGCCTTCGCCTCCGGGCCGTGACAGCTATTAACTGCAGAGACCCACAATTTCTTCACACAAGGCTGTAGTTATACAGACCTTTGTGATGTTCGATAACACTGTGACACCCTCTGAAAGCTCTCCTGTATCGCCAGCACAGGATGTACAGGTACCCGTGAGATGCCGTGTCTCAGAAGAAAAGGTAAGGCGTGAATACTGCTGAACAAGGTGTCTCAGGTGGGTAAGACTAGATGACCAATACCTCATTCTCTCCCTTTCGGAGCTTGTTGTGGAGCTAAAGGTCTTGCACACTTCCCTTGGTTCATCTACCAAGTCCTGGAGCTCTGAAGGGCCCCGGCAGTACCAGGCTCACAGCCCGCAGTGCCACAAGCGGGGTGTCCCCAGCCACCCGTGTGCAGTCAGTGTGTTTCTCTGCCCAGGGGAGGATGTTTGAACCCTACACCTGAGCAGTTCCAAATTTTCTAGGGGTGTGCTAGGTACTGACGGGCAGAACCCTTTTGGTTTTGGTAGAAACGGCCTGATAGCACACACAAACACCTCCAAGCACAATATCACCTGCCATCTGGTTACCATTTGTGGGGAAAATAGGGATCAAGGGAAAGGCGAAGCCCTGTTACATAGTCCCCATCCTCGCATGGAAGGGACTTCTCACAAAGCCTGTGATGGACAGGAGAGCAAGGGTGGATGGAAAGCCCCCAAGTGATGACAGATGTGGGCAGGGAGGGAGTGCTGGAGCTCACAGAGCCCTGCACAGATCGGGGAACAGCGCCGTGGAAGCTCCTGGGACAATGGGAACCTCCAGGAGTCCCTGTGCAAGTGATGACCGTGGCTGTTGGAGCAGGGAAGTGGTCACCCAGGTTGGTTCCAGAGCAGCTGAAAGCTCTCTGTGGTGTACAGCGTGCAGACAGGCTCCCAGGCTGGTAGAGGAGACAAGGAGGTTACTTACCGCTCGAACGCGTTTAAGGCGCTCCTCTAATTTCTCCTCCGCTTCACGTTCCTTTTGTACTTCTTCCAAACGATTGATCAGTTCTGCAGCAAACTTCTCTGGTTCAACGTGGATATCCTTTGGCATTCGGTATGTACGCTGGAGGAAAAACACACCAGGGGTTAGCAAAAGATGCATGAAAAAAATCACACGTTTATTCTGGAGGCTTTGATAACTGGAAACGCCAGTCGTTCCGGTGGGGAGTTGAGGGAGGACAGGCTGGCAGACGCAGAGGCGCAGCCTAGGACCGGCGG